CAAGCGCTATGGAGGAGGAGGAGGAGGTGTAGGAGAGGGGGAGGGGCTGCGACAGGGGAAGGGTGCTGCTGCCCTCCCACACCCCCACTATATATAGGGGCAAGGGAGAGGGGGGCCGGCCCCCAGATCTCATCTAGGGGAGGGGCGGAGGCCAGGAAGGGGAAACTTGCCCCCCAAGCCAAGGGGGGCGCCCCCTTTAGGGTTTCCCCTTAACCCTAGGCGCATGGGCCCTAGGGGGGAATGGCGCCCAGCCCACTTAGGGGCTGGTTCCCCTCCACATACAGCCCATAGGGCCCTCCGGGGCAGATGGACCCTCCGGATGGACCCCCGGAACCCTTTCGGTGGTCCCGATACAATACCGCTAAACCCCCGAACACTTCTGGTGACCATATGAGGACTTCCCATATATAAATCTTCACCTCCGGACCATTCTGGAACTCCTCGTGACATCCGGGATCTCATTCGGGACTCCGAAAAAACTTCGGTAACCACATACTATATCCCATAACAACTCTAGCGTCACCGAACCTTAAGTGTGTAGACCCTACGGGTTTGGGAACCATGTAGACATGACCGAGACATCTCTCCGGCCAATAACCAACAGCGGGATCTGGATGCCCATGTTGGCTCCTACATGTTCCATGATGATCTCATCGGATGAACCACGATGTCAAGGATTAAATCAATCTCGTATGCAATTCCCTTTGCCTATCGATATGTTACTTGCTCGAGATTCGATCGCCGGTATCCCCATACCTCGTTCAATCTCGTTACCGACAAGTCTCTTTACTCGTTTCGTAACGCATGATCATGTGGCTAACTCCTTAGTCACATTAAGATCATTATGATGATGATGCATTACCGAGTGGGTCTAGAGATACCTCTCCGTCATACGGAGTGACAAATCCCAGTCTCGATTCGTGCCAACCCAACAGACACTTTCGGAGATACCTGTAGTGCACCTTTATAGCCACTCAGTTACGTTGTGACGTTTGGTACACCCAAAGCATTCCTACGGTATCCGAGAGTTGCACAATCTCATGGTCTAAGGAAATAATACTTGACATTAGAAAAGCTTTAGCGAACGAACAACACGATCTTGTGCTATGCTTAAGATTGAGTCTTGTTCATCACATCATTCTCCTAATGATGTGATCCCGTTATCAATGACATCCAATGTCCATGGTCAGGAAACCATGACCATCTATTGATCAACGAGCTAGTCAACTAGAGGCTTACTAGGGACATATTACGATCTATGTATTCACACATGTATTACGGTTTCCGGTTAATACAATTATAGTATGAACAATAGATAATTATCATGAACAAGGAAATATAATAATAACCATTTTATTATTGCCTCTAGGGCATATTTCCAACACCTCCCCCCCAGCTTCGACTGAGTTACACCAAGGTGCAGTGCGAGCCAACTACCCAAGCGCAGATCATGTGCGTTCGACGTGGAGGATGGTGTCGTTCTCTACGTGCACAATGGTCTGCACTCTGTTTTTTAAGGAATGCCTACATGGTCATGTGAGAACAGTGATACACCGTTTGTTACCCTAGGACAGTGATTAAACTTAACAGTATTGAAACAGCGACATAAAAAGGTGCATTTCTAAAAAATAGTTGTCGCCGACACTTTGCATCACCTTGATCAATTCCATGCAAACGGCTTCAACCACCTGATTGTTGCAGCCAAGCTTGCTTGCCAGAACGAGGCCATCCCTTGCATCTTGCACAAAAAGAATATAGCAGGAAAAAGTCATTTGCATCACAGAGATTGCTCTAGATCCTCTATCTGAATCGAAAGCGGCATCCACCTAACATGCGGGGCTCTCCTATAGGGTCGCAATCTCTAGCAGCCCCTGCATGTGGGCGACTAGCATGTTCACGCTGGGAGACCACCACTAAATCTCAGTCACTTCCGCGAGCTTGATCGGATCTTGAGCTCGAAACTCTTGGATGGCCCATTGCAAACCAGAGCTAGTGTCCATCGCCGGCGGAAAGAGCGAGCGTCGGCTGTCGCGAGGAGAGCACTGGTTCAGTGGGTAAGTGAGTACCACCTAGAGGCACATCTGTGATTTGTATGATTTTGCAAGAGTTTGGGGGGTAATTTAACCTTTTTTTCTCTTGAGTTGAAGGGGGAGGGGTGATTTAACCTCTTTTTTTGGAGCAGTAGTTTTTTTAGAGAGAGATAGAGAATCTCGCCACTTTGTTGGGGACTACCCAGCCAAACATGTCGTTCTAAACCTAGCTTACAGGCCAGCTTGGCGAGATTGTGAGCCTCAAAGTTATGATTCCTAAACTCACGAACAAAATTATATAAAAGGAAATTGTCTCTGCGGGTTTTTTTTTTAGTGGCAATCTCTGTAATCTTGTAGGGGGTTGATTTAACCGGGTTGGATGTAGGGCTCCAAACGAGTCGAGCTCGAGCGAGTTGGAGTTGGCTCAGCTCAACTCATATAAAAATTTGAGCGAGCTCAAATTCAGTGAAGCTCATGATCGAGTTGTAGAACATGACTCGTGCTCAGCTTGTAACGATCTCGAGTCGATCTCGAGCTAGTTTCGAGCTAAATGAGATGGTAAAAATTATAAATCTATGAATGAAAAAAATAAGGCGAATATGCTGGGAACATTTGTCAAAAATATAAGATATTTAACACATAGTCGACCACGTGTCATAATTAGGCTTAAATCTTCTATGCATTTAATTAAGTTTCCATGTACGTTGGTAAATAAAATGGAGAAAAATTATGGACAACATATATGATAATAATTATCTTATTTCCATTTAATATATGATATGATCATTTAAAATAATAATATTCTGTCGAGCTATCGAGCTAAAATTAAGCGAGCCAACATTGACTCAAGATAGGCTCGTTTCTCGATCGATCTACATAAAGTGTTTAAACTCAGCTTGTTTTTTTCAAGTCGATCTCGAGTCGAGTAAAAAAAACGAGTTAATCTCGAGCGGCTCACGAGGCTCGAGCTTTTCTTGCAACCTAGTTGGATGTTTAGGGGATTTCTTGTCCAGCCCAGTAGCGCCTTTATCGTGGCCCACCAGAGACTCCTTCCTGCCCGCCGATACGGCCATTCCCCATCGCTTCCCACCCACTCCCACACGGCCACCGCCACCACCACCGTCCCGATCTCCGGCCACCGCCACCACCACCGACACCATGTCGTCCACCACGGCAGGGGCCGCCCTCCTCCTCCGCCCCACCTCCGCCACGACGAACTCTCTCCTCCGCCTTGCCAGCCCCTGCC